GACAAATAAGATGAATTATCTTAACAAGTTTTAGCGAGTGTAAATTTATCATAATTGACAAATACGGACTTTTTAAATACTTTTTAAATGGTGTTGTGAAAACAAATGAGGGCAAGCAATGCAATAGATTAACATAATTGGGACACCTGATGATGGGACTATGTTGGCGAAACATGTTGTGAAGTGACAGGTGAAACTGAGTGCACTACAAGACAGCCACTGTATACATATCATGGATGAAAATCAGTGCAACAGGACACTAAAATATAACATTATGAACAGTGGAGTACTTAGTTTGATGAAACCAGGAAAGTATTTTAAATGACTGCCCTAAATTTTATCCCTCCCAGATCAACATTTGAGACCATTCTATTCTATCTCATTAAATGCTACATGGTACTAAAATAAGTATATAAATATATGACTGAAACTTTCATTCTGAAACAAAGCTTTTTGTCTTTCAGGTTGCTTAATGATGTTACATCATGTACCAAGGGTATCTAGCATGGAATAACATGGATGAGGAGACAAGATAAGCAAGGAGATAATATGGGCTTGTTTTACTATCTGAGTGTTGTACCCTGACTTTGTACTGTTAGTGACACAAGGTATCTCTGTGAAATGTGTATATTCCATTTTATCTTCATGCCCTTGAGATTATGCTTTGAAGAATGAACATGAAGCAGTGGATTAACCAGCCACATAGCTTTTGTTGTTTTGCACTACACGATTTCATCAAAAGCCTACAAATCTGCATTTTTATTATTTATATTTCTAATATTCAGCAGTACTATATAGTTTTTTCAGAAGTATTGTAGACACAGTTATTTTTGTCAATAAATATCTCGAAATGACTGACTTGTGACATTGACTTCACATAAATAGTTTCTGCATTGCTCCATTTGTTCTATGAAATCTACAAGTAAATTCTCTTGTACCTTTAAATTGTCAGTATTACATATCAAAAAATAACTGCAGCAGATAATGCTTGCTTTATCTATTATGGTACAAAAATGTAGCTTGCTTCTCTTTCCAAAAACTTCGTATCATTAGTTTTCTAGAAAAATGTTTCCAATGGAAATAGCACTCTACCTCAACTGCAAGTAAACCCTAAGTCAAAATTTAATCATACATGTACATTAAGTTTCTTATGTGTATATGCTTACTGAATTTCATAACAACTCCTCCACTCTGAAGAAAGATGGATATGCTTTTCCAGATTCATGTTGAAGGATGCTAGTCAAGCTCTGAAAAACCCTAACGTCATTTCCCCCATGCAAATGACAAATTCTTCTCTTTATTGTAACTGACATATTACATTAATAAAAAGAAATGCTGTTGCAGACTATGATAGCTCTGTTTCAGTTTTAAATGCTGCATATCACTTACCATATTAAAATTAAGCTCCTTGTGGCTGCCACTGAGAATGTTAATTATGCTCTACTTTTTTTTTAATTCTTAAGTTAACCCTTGTGGAGCCTACCACAGTGCTAGCCAATCAATGCCAACCACAGCCAGCACCAATGCCCAATGGATCGGGCATCGCTAGTGACAGTGTAGTGTGGCTGCCGCTGAGAATGTTAATTATGCTCTACTGTTTTTTAATTCTTAGGTTAACCCTTGTGGAGCCTACCACAATGCTAGCCAATCAATGCCAACCACAGCCAGCACCAATGCCCAATGGATCGGGTATCGCTAGTGACAGTGTATTTAGTTGTGAACCTCTGATGTGCTAACCAGTCAGTTGGAGCTGCTCTGCTCTTTTATTGTTTAAAAATTTTAAAGGTTTTAAAAAGCAAGTTGCATGTAAGATGGCTAATAACTAACAGGAATAAATAAGAGATGTGCAACAGGATGCCACAATACAGTATTATTATTGTTGCTGTTGTTGCATTTGTTGTTGTTTTTGTCATTATCCTCATCATGACTGTCCATATTGCAGCTGTTGCTGCTGATACCTGAGTCAATATGTTTGTTGCTTGCAGTCCTAAATATGCTGCAAGTTTTATCATTAACATATTTTTCAGGAGACATGTTATGTAAACAGGCCTGTGGATATGTCTGTTAAATTTGTCAGACTTAACTTCAACTTCATAATAATTGTAATTATTGACTTTTAAATAATATTTCATACAGAATTTGTAAATATATTTATGATCTGCTTCCTTACCAGATTTCAAATACCTACCTCCATCAGTTCACTGATTGTCGAAATCCAAAGCCAAATATAAATTTCTTCAACCACCAACTTACTGTTTTATGTCCACAGAAAAATTTGCCATAACAGTAGTTTCATATCCATTGAAGAATTATTAGCATACACAACTTCAGGACAATAGATTGAGTGGTGCTAATATCATTCCTGTTTCACAGATTCATGCACCCATTCTGTTATTATTTGTTATGAAATTAAAATGTATAAGGTTGATGGGTTCTCTTATGAAAATCAGTGAGATGGTTCAGAAGATGGAACAGGGAGCAAAGGGACAGTATTATAGTCTTAAGTCTACTTCCTTTCCTCAAAGAAAGGTAAGTAGGCTAGAAATCAACTTTAAAAATGTAAAGTGGCAAGATTTGTCACTGACTGAGATTAACTTCTTTAACTTATTATGGAACAGGACATTGATAATGTTGCTGTAATAGACAAATTCAGTAATTAGATTAAAACACGTTTAATATGACACAGAAGTAACAACCTATTCTCTTTTGTTTTTTAGGAAGTTATTTTTATTTTTATGTTTGTTTTGGTTGTGCAAAAATCTGCTCATAATAAAATTCTTCTTTTTCCCAGAGGACAGTATTTTATTAATAGATTCTGTGCTGTATTTTTCATGCATTTAATAGAAAAGGATGACATCATGAGGGAAGAGAACACTTTCATCAGCCATTTCAAATATTTCTTTTTCATAGAATGACACAATAATCAGGACAGGTGATTCTGTCAAATATACACTTCATGTGGAGTTTGCAACTGTTTTATTATCTCAGACTTGTTAAAAACATATCATAGTTATTTCCATGTGACCAAGTTAGATTCATGATGTGTCACGATGTGCTGAGCTGGCATTTGGCACAGTGATAGTGTCAATAATTCAGCTGTGGGAAATATACATTAAGAAAATAGAACTATAGCCATTTGCATAATCATTCATTGTATATGTTGATGACTGCACACTGACACAGTATCAAACACGGTGTGACAGGTGGTGATAGGTCACCTACCAGTCAGTCATACATACTATTAGCACTTGATGCACCATAAAAATTGTAACAAATAACTGTGCAATTGGCTGCTATCAAGTGTTTCTATTGAAGGGCATCTGCTACTCTACAAAAATTATCTAGAAGAGTTCTACAGTTAATTTGGGAATGACAAAATAATCAACATACATAACCATAGCTACCTCTTGTGTTTCTCATTTGTTGAATTGTCCTAAATGGGCTCCATCACAACCAAAATTAGATTATGATGGAGCTACGTTCCCCTGAAAGAGCTACAAACGCATTCTCCACATTTTCCAAACATAAAGTGACTTCACAAGTTCTTTCCAGCTTTGTGCTTTGTATAAAAGTTGGTACTAATCTGAATCAACTTAGAGTGCATAGACATAGTTAGTCCACATTCTGTTGGTGCATACGTTTTGTAAACTAAAAGACTTCTTGAAGCATTTAATATTGGAAATTAAGTCCTCAGCTTCACAATCAATCTGATTTTTAGGTGTTTAATTTTTTTCAGGAGAATTACTGAAATCTGAAATTAAGTTCATTGCAAGAATTCTCAATTAATATATCACTGGAAGCAATGAGGTATTTAACTCTCAGTAAATTAGTTTTTGTAGAGTAAATTAGTGTAGAATTATAATGCTATTTACAGTTTACTTGGAGAAGGAGTGTAGGTGTTTTGTATGCATACATTTGTGTTGAGATATATGTACAAAGATGCCAACAATACTGCCAATCTTCATATTATCTCTTCTGGTATAAATAACAAAGAACATTATTTTATTATTTTTAATGTCCATGGTTGTATTTGTATTAGAAACTGATTGTCCAGTTTACCAGAGTTCATGTTCACCAATGGTTATGATAGTAATAATATTCAGAACAACACACTGATGCTCTCTGATAGGATGTGTGCAGTATTGACCTATGTGTCACCGATGTATTGCTAGTTATCCAAACTTCTGACTGGCAGCTCCCTATCAACCTCTGGTTGTGAACAACAGCAGGGCAGTACACAGCAGGAGAATCAGTAAGAAGTGTGCTACTTCACAATCTGTAATAGTGAAGACAGATTCATATTGTTACTTACTAGTAATTAGGAAGTTCCTTTAAAGCAATGAATTTTAATGAGAGTTCCCTATACTGAAAAGATTTTTCACTCTAAATTAGCAAGTGTTAAGAGTAGTGACAGAATTATTGTAGAGTTAGTTCTTGGTAGTCAATTAATTTTCATTTTGGCTACAAAGTTTCAAACCCTTTGCCTACAAAGCCTAGTGCTATCCACTTGGGTATAGGTAACTGTAGGTATAGATGTACTTGAACTCAGTATCCTGGGCCACTGTTGATATTTAAAAATAATGTATCATCAGAGAGAGTTATTTAACATATATGTGAAGATGGATTTGAAAATCCTTAGTGAGGTAGCCAGTCTCCTAGCCAATATTTGAAGCAATTATATGAATATGAAGCAAGAGTGTTATTGACTATACTACAGAATTTTGTAAATTTGGAAGGTTGTTGTAGTTTGGATTTCAAGAAATATCTTATCATATTTCTCAAATAGAAGTCAATTGGTAGAGAAAACTGTGGAATGCGAAATTAAAAAAAGCATCCTGTGAATTGCCTTGTTCAGCACAGTCAGAACACAAACTGGCTCCTTAATATTCTGGTCCATTTATGATCTTAAAACAAATAGAACACCGACACTGAAGCTAAATAGTGGTCAGTTAATCTTTTATGAAAATGTAGTTGCATTTTCAGATGCTTACCTGTCTTATGGGACAGATTACTTTGGGCAGGCTTAGATGTATACGAATCAACTTCATCCAGAAACTGGTATGTAGCATTGAAGCCTGTTCCATCAAGTCTGTCATTAGAGCGGAAAGTGACCCTGAAGAATTTGCGGTCTGACTCAATATCAAACTCTTTGAGCTGACCACATTTCCGAGAGTACTTGCGATCATGTGCCATGAAGTTTGAAAATTCAACATAGTCACTAGCAGAGATAGCTTCACACCTGTAAACATACACACTACTTTGTACAAGCAATTCAGATGAAAAGAAACAGAATTAACACCTTTGTTATAATGTAGGAGTACGTGGATTGGGTAATTAAGGATATTTTAGAAATTCTGGAAGCTTCTGCTGTAAAAGGGTATTTTTTAAATGGTTATGGATATAAACATGGAACATCTTGCAGACAGTGTGGAAACTCATGATGCAGCGTATGTATAGATATTTGATAGATGCTCCATTAGTTACTTTGCAAACGTCAATGCAGTATTCCAGTTCTTTCCATGTATGTCACAACTGTGATTCTTCGACACCGGGCATCACACACTCACTCACACACGGAGCTGAGCCCTTCTTAAGAAGCCACCAATTGTGCAGATTACTCAAGAACTTCCCAGGATTTTATGAAACCTGAATGTTCATTACTATGTTCACAAGAGCCCTCCAATGAACCCTATCCTGAGCTAGATCAATTCAGTCCATATCATCCCATCTCCCTAAGATCAATTTTAATATTGTCAACCCACCCATGCCTTGGTCTTCCCAGTGGTCTCTTTCCTTCTGCTCTTCCCACAAATATCCTACATACATTCCTCGTATTACCATTCGTGCTACATGCCCTGTCGATCTCATCTTCCTTGACTTGATCATTCGAATCTAACTTGAAGAAGAGTAGAAGTTATGAATCTCTTTATTATGCACTTTTCTCCAACCTCCTGTCACTTCATCTCTCTTCAGTCCAAACGACACCTTGTTCTCAAACACCCTCAGCCTATTTTCATCTTAATGTCAGAGACCAAGTTTCACACCCATACACAACCACAGGCAAATTATAGTTTTGTATATTCTAATTTTCATGTTTTTAGACTACAGACGAGAAGACAAAGGATTCAGGATTGAATGGTAGCAGCATTACCCAAGTTCAATTTCCTTGTAATTTCCTCCTGAATCAGGTTTTGATTTGTTATAGTCGTTCCCAGATATCTGAACTGTGCCACATTTTCAAAATATCTGTTGGCTATCTTTATGTCATGATTTTGCCCTGTATTCTGGTATCGAGATATCAACATATATTTAGTTTTCTCTGCCTTCTCTTCTAGACCAACCTCTTGAGTAGCGTCAATTAAAATTTGTGTGTTTTTCTTTATGGTGTCTGTATTATGTCCATGATTTATGTTAACCATCTTATAGTGCATACAATTCTTCGCCCTACTCTTCACTTTTACACTATGTGTTTCAGCACTAATGTGCCATCTTCAGGTGTCTCTATGCACGTTAAACTACTGCACTGCATGCCATGATGTCTTCATTCTAAAATGACTAAAATCTGTATTCATCATATATGACGAATTCTAAATATTAAAACTTTTCAGGATTCATCCTATGTCGCATCTCAAACACGCGAATTACGCCAGTCCTCTTTTATGTGAGCATTCTTCCTACATTCATTTGTGTATTGTGTTCTGGGTTGTGTCTTGCTCTTGTTACTGCGTGCATTGTATGATGTGAGAACATCGTAGTTTTGACAGTAACATTTTTGGATGTTGATATTTGGTATGTCCTGTGAAATTCACTTTCAAGCTCTTGAAGTGACTGTGGCATCAGAGGTTGGTACACTTAGTCTGTCACATAGCCCCATATGTAGAAGTTGCATGGGGAAGGGTCTGGAGATTTATGTGGCCAAGGAATTGATCCTACTCATCCTGTCCAAGCCTGTGGCAGGTTTTTGTCAAAGAAGTTTGTCACAGCCATATAGAAATGAGGCGGAGCTCTATCCTGTTGGAAATGGAGTTGTTCCAGAAGATCTTTTTTTTTACTGGGGCAATAACCATTGTTCCAGCATATCTAAGTATGCCATACCAGTAACAATAGCTTGTGAAAAGAAGAATGGTTCTTACTTTGTCTTTGATACACCATAAAACACACTGACTCTCAGCAAGTTGTGGATAATTTGTGCTATGACATGGGGCTGATCAGTTCTCCACAAGTTAACATTCTTCATTTTTTTCCAGAAAGATAAATGATAGCTTAATCACTGAAAACGAAATAGTCACCAAATACCTAATAAACTTCAGATTGCTTGGACATGTTGCTTTCCATTTGATCTTGTCATTTTCAGACAGCTACTATATAAATTTGAGACAATATGGCTTAAACATAAAATTCTTTCTCAACACATTCTCCACTGCTGATTGTGTGGCCAGTACAGTTGATTTTTGCAGACATCTCATGAAAGCTTTGAAGATTCTATCAATAATTTCCATGCTAATATGCAGACACACAGCGCTTTTGCACTTATAAATACAACCTTCATTTATACACTTCCTATAATAAACTCTTGAGTCAGCTTAGAGGGGTTCATTACCATATGTTGTTCTGAAACATCAGTACAATCTTTTCACCAATATCTTCTCATGAAACTTTGCACTTGAGGTGCCATTTGTGATCAGGGTTTAACAAAAGTTTATATTAATTCCTTCCTTCATTCATTCATATTTATTCGTTCCATAAATCCATACCCGGCCAAAGGCCTACAGATGCAGAACAAGTCAATGAACATTCTCTACATACCACATTCATCTCTTCATTCTTGATTTGATCATCCTAATAATATCTGATGAGGAGAAGTTACGAAGCTCCACGTCATGCAGTATTCTATAGCCTCCTTTTACTAACTCCTTCTTGGCCAAATATTCTTCTCTATACTCTGTCCTCAACATCCTTAATCTGTATTCTTCCCTTAATATGGGAGACCAAGCTTTATATCCATACAAAACAACAGGCAAAGTTAAAATTTTATACTGTTTAACTTTTGGTGACCATAGATAGTAAACTACTAACACTATGGACCTGAGCCATTCTTGAGAAGCTGACAGTTGTGCAGCTACTCAAGAATTTCCAAACATTTTAAGGAACCTGATATTTCATTACCATGTTTACAAGAGCACTCCACCAGTCCCTATTCTAAGCCAGATCAATCCAGTCCATACCACCCCATCCTAGCTATCTAAGAACCATTATAATATTACCCACTCACCTACATCTTGGTCTTCCTAGTGGTCTCTTTCTTTTTGGTTTTCCCCACCATCTTATATATACATAGTAGATGGGAAAACAAAAGTTTCTGAATTTAATGGTAGCAAGCATTCTCCAGGTTTAATAAACTCCTAATTTTTTCATGAATGCAATTTTGATTTAGTATCATTCCAAAATATTATAACTTCACCACATTTTCAAAGCATCTACAATAAACTGTTGCCTGGCATGTCTAGGGAACGGAGTGTGCTGACTGTATGAATCTGTCATGTGTATGAAAAAACCTGTATACAAACCAGGTACAGTACAGTCCAGCAGACAAACCTACACAGTATTAACCTTTAAACGCCGGACTTCGAAATTGTGGTAAACTTGAGCTGGCCGGAGTTTATTTAAATGCCCGCTGCTGGTGCTCGTTTAAATGCCCGATGCTCCCTTGCGTTTAAATGTCCGTTCCTGTTAGGCGGTTATNGAGGTAGCTCGAGGACTCACTCGGCGGTAGCTCCAGGACTCGCTGACTGACTGTGAATAGCCTTCGCTGCTCCTTATGTAGCCTTGATCGGACAATTGTCGTCTGGTGCCTTGTTGCTAGCCATTCTGCCCGGAGTTGTTGACTGCTGTCTAGCAACCGCGATATCCCTCGGTGACGTCACCGCTGTTGATTCGCTTTGCATAGCTTCAAGGTCGCGGGGACTCGGCTAACGTCGGCTCCGCTCGGCTCACTTCGGCTCCGCTCGTGACGTCACCGCGCGTTGTGCGTTGCATAGCTATCAGGATGCGGGGTGATTACTCGCCTATTGCGCGAGCGCTATGTTACCGCTACGTGCAGCTGGAGAGGTAGGGTTCAGCATGTCACAATACCTATCTGCAGAATCTGCAATAAAATTACTGGATCGTGGATAAGTTTTGGCATAACTCATACATATATTTTTATTTGCTGTTGTTCTGTTAGGTATTATTTTAATTCCTCTATTAGGGTTTTATTCAAGTCTGTCTGGTAATTACTACATTTGAAAATAAATATTTAGGAATGTGCATGCACTTCTACTAGCGGCGTGTGCGCGCGCTTCCACTAGCGGAGTTTAAATGCCTGACTGGACAAAACGGGGTACTTTGGCCACGACGACCTTACTCATGACTGGCACAAACTGGGCACTTCGGCACTTAAAGGTTAAACTTACAGTGAAAAAAGAGGCAATAAAATGAAATGCACAATGTACTAATTGGTGAAATATTTTGGATTTTGTTACATGAGGACAAACTCAACTAACCTATGCTGGAATGGCAACTGTTTGAACAAGAATGATATAGAGCACTGCTGTGGGCAGCCAAGAGCATTATAACAAAGCTGGTGAACATCTATGAAATACAACTACCTTTCGAAGTTCTTTGTAAAAATGATATAATTTCTTCAAAATTCTTCCAGTTGCATAAAAATTCTGGTTGCTTGGATAATGGATTATAGGTGTTTACTCTATCTGCTATCTTCATGTTATGGATTTCTCTGGAAATCTGGTGACTAAGATGATGTCATCATCGTCGTCGTCGTCATTGTCATCATATGCAGTCAAATATAAAGGTATTTCTTCAGCAGACTGTATGAAATGTCATGATAATGTAGTGAAGGGAGTTAATTGAGCTATGGCAAATTAATATGACTTAACAGATTAATATCAGCCTTACTAGAAATAAACACAGGCATCTTTCCTTGTTATTGAAGATCTGAAGCTATTGGATCTACTTTATATTATTCAGTTTTGGACTATTTCCTTGAATTGATTGTTTTCAAACTGATATTATTACAACAAATTCAGTGTTTGGTTTGCAGTTGCAATGACCATCAAAAGGTACCTGTGTATATTTTGGGTCTAGTCTGAGAAAAGTGGTTGACATATCTTCTGAAGAGAAATCCGATTACTCACGGTAAGACTCCTTCTACATCAAAATAACTGAAATGTAGGCGAACTTTCTCAGTTCTACTGCCTTGAAAGAAGTAATGGCACTCGGTGTCACGAGGATAGAAGCCAGGGAAGTTAGGACTGGCAAATGTGCCATTGCGGGTTTCACTGCTATTGAATGCAAATGCACATGGATATTCTGGAAGTTGGTGACCAGTAGTTACACCAAAGTCTGCAACACAAACCAAAATTTTCCACTTTACTAGCTTTTGAGTACTTTTTTTTTTTATTGGAATGAGAGAAACATAGCTCATTATTAACATATAACATAAAAATTACAAGATTTTATGGTATCATATGAGATCCTTAAACATAGAAATATAATCCTCCAAGCAAATATTTGAGGAATATAGTATTTTTCTTCATTCTTACATAAGTTAATGAATATTACATAACATCAATAGCAGCCATACTAAACAGTTTGCCAAAATAAGAACTTGCTGCCAGGAAATCAGTAGCATTATAAGTTCAGTCTTTAAATTTAAATATTCTTATTAATGAGTATCTCAGTAGAGTGGTTAGCACTCCTGTTTTACATGAAAGACGCATCAGATTCAATTTACTGTAGAGAAATCAGCTGTAAGTTTTTTCTTTCTTTTTCTATTTTATTCACACCTCCTGGTAACTGCTGGAGTAACAACCATGTTTGCATTTGTGATTGTCCACAGAAATGACTAACAAAAGTTGCTTATTTTCAAATGCTTGCCACAATTGAATATATCGAGATGTTATATTGAATGCCACTAATACTCCTGTCATATTTGTCTCCAAATGTGTGTCACTTTGTATACTGACAATGAGGATTTAAAAAATGTCACTGAGTTGCACTCCAATGGAGACTTTCCTATCCAGCTCCATGTATTTCATCTCTCATAATGTTCTATTTTTTCCCATAAATAAGTCTAAAAAGATTGTGACAGTGCTTCTTTGTGTGTGACAAAGCACCAGAAAGAAATACCTTTTAGTGTGTCCACTTAGACTTTTTTTTTGTGGAAGATTGATGCTCCAAGAGACAACTGCATAAAATTATAACAAATAATTGTTGCCGTTAGAATGACTATTACAGGCAAGCAGTGAAGCCGAGCATGCCCGATGAATAGCAGTGAAAACCCCCTTCGTAGTGGACTAGCCTGAGCTAGTGACAGCATTCGTCCTTACAGCAGCCCTGTGATTGCGAGTTGGTGGGATGCCGGGTGAAGCTCTTACAGTAGCGGGCTAGCTGGTGTTAGGGGCTGTGAGGCTGGCTGGCCTGATGAGCGTTGGTGCTCACTAGTGGAGTCAGCTGTGGTGTGGCTACTATTAGACTCGGTGTTGCACTGTTCTCTTGATGCAAACGTAGTTGTGACCAGTTGTTACTGTGGCTAGCATTAAGTCAAAGTCAAAGTTAAAGTCATGTTGCAACTGATGGTCAGTCAGTCTGTCTTGGTGTCGAGCCCCAGCTGGGGCTCATGACCAGATGTTAATTTTTAAGTGAAAGTTACTGTCCTGTCCATTTGGGGCGCCACCCTCTCTGACGAGAGGTTGAGTCTGTCATTTGTCAGTCATAGGCGACAGTATTAGTCCATTGTCACTATGTACACTTATTAACAGTTGAATCTTAATATCTAGTATGTATAATAATATATATATATATATATAAAGCCAGTCACGGTAGCCGAGCCAGCTAAGGCATGCACTGTCTTCGCTCGCTCGGAAGCCGGGATCGTGGGTTCGAATCCCACTCAGGGCATGGATCTTTGTGTGCATTTTTCTGTGTTTGTCTACAGGTAGAGGCCTTGCCACGAGCTGATCACTCGCCTAAGGAGTCCTACCGTATGTGTAAGATCTAGTAAACCGAAGTGAAATGGAGAGTTTCACGGAGGTAGGCCTAGGCCCAAATTGAGGCTGTAGCGCCACAGGAAAAAAATAATATATACAAGGCCTCTGTCAGTCTAGGCTCAGTACAGCGGACTATGCCCTATTTCTAGTAGTATTTGCTACCACGGCAGTCTAGTCACTTGAACGGTCGTATGCCTGACTGCAACCAAGTTTAAGCCTCTTATATTTTTGAGGCGAGCAAAGTCAAATTCAAAGTCAAAGTCATGTTACAACTGACGGTCAGTCAGTCTGTCTGTGTTGGTGTCAAGCCCCAGCTGGGTCTCATGACCAGATGTTTTCTTCTTTGTGAAAGTTGCTGTCCTGTCCATTTGGGGCGCCCTCTCTGACGAGAGGTCAGATCTGTCATTTGTCAGTCTTAGTCAGTCCATTGTCAGTATTGACATACATTTATAATTTAATTCTAGTCTTAATTACTATTTCTATGTACAATATATACAAGGCCTCTGTCAATCCAGGCATTGTACAGCAGATTATGCCCTATTTCTAGTATAATTTGCTACCACGGCAGTCTAGTAACTTGAACGGTCATATGCCTGACCGCCACAAAGTTTAAGCCTCATACTTTTGAGGCGAGCATGTCAAAGGCCTGCATCTTTATACTTTTGTCGCTGGGCGGTGCACTAACCAATGGGTGTTGGAGCTGCAATGGTGAGCGCTCATTGGGTAGCACTTGCTTCACTGTGGTAGGCTCCCACAGTTTTTTAATCTGATGTATTAAAACTATACAGCAATTCAATTTTCTTGGCCATCAAATCTTACAGTAATCATGAACATGTTTGTCCTAGCCACTTACATAAAAATGTTTAGACTGTTTAACATCAGAATACTTCACAACAAGTCTGAAATTTAAAATGATGAAACTTATGGTATATGAACAGAACAAATTTAAAAAGGTAGAATCTCTGCAATTGATTTTAATCCTACTGTTCAACTATAATTTAAATTCCTATATATATATATATATATGTATAATTTTTTAAATAATGGTAATTACATTTCCAGAAGATATGTACAGAAAGTTCTGCATCACTATCACATCCATAATGGCTCAGAAACACCTTCACTCTGCTTTCGATGCATAATATGGGTGCCATCCATAGCCTAGATCATGCAGGTGACCACACATGACCGTTTGTTGAAGCTTGAGAATGAATTGAGAGTTCTACCTTCTAGATACACATGTACGCACAGCTTGATGATCTACCGGTTTTTGACAGTGGTTTAATATTAAGAGGGTTTTGTCTTTCTTCTTTTCTTTCTTTCTTTTATTGTGGGTGTAGACATTGGTGTTTCATAGTGGCATCATTTTTCTTAAAACACAAAAATAAGAATTTAAAAATCCTTTACCAAATGTGAAGGGATAATGGTTGAAAGAATAAACTAAGTATCTGAATTTTTTGTTCCTAATTTTTATTGTAAACTATCACATTTTCCCTTTTTGCCACAATTAAGTACAATCACCCTTGTTTCATGAAAAAATAAATCACTGAGTATGTCCACTGAAAAAATTTTCTTTGAGCACTGTCAATCATGTAAACGGGAAAAATAAATAATATATCTTCAAGTGAAAGCATGTTATGTTTACTGTTAAGTAAAGAAAAAAAAAGTAAATTTGTTCTGTGCTTCATTAGTTAAGCACTATACCATGAAAACATATGGGGGAGTGGAGGTATAGCTCCATAATTCTTGACATTGGCACTAGATGGAGGTGAGTGGTCAGCTTCAAAACCCTGCCACTTTATGTTCGGGGAAAGAGCCTCTAGTACCCATTGGACAGGAGGCTGACGGAACCTCAGAGCCGGTCTGGATGTTGTGGAGAAGAGAAAAATGTTGCACTGTCAGAAATCGAAATTGGGTCATCCAGCACAAAGTCCATCACTATATCAACTATAATGACTTAGATATCTTGACTTATTAAGCATTAATTTATATTCCAATATACTCACTTTCTATAAAACTGTAAGTGGCTTTAAAACCTCTGGAATATCTTGAGGAATATATCCCTCTGAATTCCAACATGAGTCTTGGGCCATTGGACATAAGAGGCTTAGGCACAGTGTTGCCACAGAAGCTATCAATTTTTTCCATTCGACCATCAATATGTACATTTGCCACCAAGGAGTCAATATTTTCACACCTGTAAACACAAGAACAATTAATGTATTTGATTTGATTCATTCTGGTCCGTTGCACTAACAATATCATGAAAAGTTAAACAGTTCCGTCTAGTGTGACTGGTGAAGATTTTTCTTACTTCATTTATTTATGCCCGTACATGTTTCGGTCTTCAGAGACCATCATCAGAGGGACACCTTTACATCAATACACTTGGAAGTTACTATTACAATATATGTTCTGAAGTTAAAATATATTGTATATAATATTAATAATATATAATTGGGTATAAAATCTAAAGTTTTTACAACTACTGTGGCTGTTCCAATACATTAAAATATTTCTAACTGGTTTCTTAAGATATTATTGGAGTTTATAAACCAAGTAGGTTCATGTCATCTTTCTTATTATTTCTCTTGATGGGGGCCGAACGTGTGCTGCCTTGTCATTCTCGAAAATACGGTTCTTTGATGTTGTCTTGTATGTGTTTGTGGTGATGCCACATCCAGCAAGTCCATCACAAGTGTTGTTAGTCAAGCCAGTTCCTTCAGGCTTAAACTAGCAGTCTGTGAATACAGGCACAATTAGAAGGGACAATGATATACTATATCCTTGATGGTGTATGTGTGTGTGTGTGTGTGTGTGTTACATTCAAATGCTGCCATATTAGTCGAATGAGCTGCTTGTAAGTTTGTGGTCATTCTCTGCTTTTCTGAGGTTCCATTCTTATCTGTGCATCATGGAAACTCAGAAGGAAAACATAAAGTTATTGTTAATGACAACTGAGTAGAAAATTCTTCAAAACCTGGAAAACTGTTCCAAATTCTGTTACTTGATGCTGAAGCTGAAGTACGAGGTTTAATAAAAGAAGTGAGCTCAGTAGTTGCTAACTACTGCTAACTGCTAAATACCAGTTTTTGTTTGATCATTTGAGTTAGTGTTAAGATTTTCCTCCCATCATGGTGAAAAAATAAATGTGAAAATACACCTGCCGATCTGCATGAACAGGAAAGAAACATACAAACACACAGACATTTTTGGGCAGACTGACTTCCATATGGGGAAGCACCTGGTTACAATTATGGCAGAGGACCACATATCTAGCAGTTTCATGAGTTGTGTGGGACCCAAATGGTAAAGTTCTGTCAATTTGTAAAGAATTCTTTGCATAAAGTGAGTGTGTCAGTGTGCTGTGTCCAGAACTACACAGTGGGTTTTGATGAAATCTGACATCATTAGGTCTACACTAAATGTTGTCCTATGAATTTAATTTTAAACTCTATTGGAGCATGTGTAACACTTACTTTACATGAAGCTCAAACAGAACTTATTGATTTTCTAAAAAAAAATGTGCTCATTGTGCAAAATTTTGGAATATGACACAAAATAAATATCTACTAAGATGTACAACTTTAACTGTAAATAACTATCAAAATGTGATTATGGGTATTTAACAGAATATGAGAAAATAAAATTTCTGACATGATGGAGGGTGATGTCTGTGAAAGTGGATATCTAAGAACAGATTCCTGTATGCAGTAAATGAATATTATATGCAAAACAGTCTCTTCAACTGAAGTACTTAGCTTCCATTGTTCTTTGAAAATTGATTCTGATCATTTCACATAACATATTTTTGTACTTTCCAGTCATAACATCCTTATGTGACACTATTGAAACTTTGAAGATGAAGTAAAGTAAAAGTATCCCTGTAACAGGCCGTGGAGGTCCATAGGGTTGTGAGATGTTGGGGCTCCCACATTTTCCAGACACTCGGCTCACAGATGGCACTGGCCGCCCCTTACCCCCAGGAATATTCCTAGTACTCATTTCCGTTAGAGGCTGAGTTGACCCCACGGCCATAGTGCGGCAGGAAGGATTACGTCAATTGAAAAAAATCCACTTCATCGGGATTTGATCCCGCAGCCTTCAGGTTTTTAACATAGTGTCTCAACCAACTATGCTACCACGTGCCCACTTGAAGCTGAAGTAGTGATGTAAAATAACTGAACAGCCAAGGTCAATAAAATAATTTTAAAGGACATCAAATTCTGCTTATGCATTTTTGGCAATCCTATTTTTAGCCTACTTTTCTTATTTTGAAAAAAATAAAAGTAAGCGTATGAGATCACTTTGATGTCTCTGTGTGTGTGTGTCTGTCTCTGTATGTGTATACCCCATCCCAATTAGCTTTTGAATGGCTGAACCAAGCTTTATGAAACTTGGTATGTGTATATATTAAGGCGTCTGATGCCATCTGATTGGTGTAATACATAAATCGCTCCTACAAGTAATACCAACATTGCAGCCCCTCAACATTCTGAGGAAAAATCTTACTCTCTCTTGAACGACTGTACCAATATTGATGAGACTTGGTATAAACATTATGCCAAAATGAAGCCATCTCAAAGGCGTACTTCATGAATCCTTTCTATCAGTAATACCAATATTACAGCTCCTCAAACTGTTGCGGTAATAATCATAATGTTACTTAAATGTCTGAATCGATCATCATGGAACTTGATAGATATACAAGTATAATGCCAATCGAGTTCATTTCACCGGCGTACTTCATAAATCCCCTAAGATCATTAATACCAACAGCACAGCCTCTCAAGTTGTTGAGGAAATACCCTTAATATTACTTGAATTCCTGAATCGATCGTCGTGAAACATGGTGTGTATGTGTCATGCCATCTGAGGTAATCTCAGTGGCATGCATCACAAATCCTTCCCATTAGTAAGACCAACACTGTAGTTTCTCAGACTGTTAGGGTAATAAGGCAAAGGTAGAAGTAAATTTGTCCCTGTGATTAACTAACTTAGCACTATGCCAAAAAGGAGTGTGGGGGAGTGGATGTATAAATTCACGTTTTCTTGACCTCGGCACTAGCTGGAGGTGAGTGGTCAGCTTCACACCCATGCTGCTTCACCCCCAGGGAAAGAGCCCCCGTTACTCATTTGATAGGAGGTTGGGTGGACCCCAGAGCCTGTCTGGACGACGTGGAGAAGAGAGAATTCTTGACCCTAGGAACCTGAACTCTGACCCCTCGGTCATCCAGCTCATAGCCAGTTGCTATACCGACTACGCTATCCCGGGTATAATTTTTTATTTTTTCAGAAGTTAAAGTTCTTCCTGTGCTTAATTAATTAAGCACTATGCCATGAGGGCTTATAGGGGAGTGTACCTCAATGTCATTTGAATTCCTGAGCCATAAAAATATCATGACATATGAGGCCATTTCAACGGTGTACTGCATAAATCACTCCGATTAGCAATTAGGTTCCCAATTTTATTGTTTTATTGACTTCATTACGCATACATATTAAAGTTATTTTTCTACTTGTCGTATGAGATGCTTAGATTAGAGTGACAGGAAAGTAGGTTATTAGTTCTTTCAAGAAAATCTTGTTAACATCGTGAATATAATAATAATGTTGTATGGATCTCCTTCATAAATATTTGTGCTTTTATGTTTATTTCAAATAAACATCAGTTCTGTTCTCATTGTTTCTATTCTGTTATCGTCAGGTCCTTGAAATGTACTATGGTATTTTAATGTGTTTCAATTTCTTTCACAAATTACAGCATTCTTCACACAATTCATATGATATCACTGTCATTTAATGTATAGAGTAGAGATGAACTGTGAAACTTACTCTTTTGAATTATCTGGGGGATGGTAGAGGTTGAAGTCGCTGAAAACGATTTGAACTCGCTCTTTACCACGACCTTGGAAGTCATACCGGCAGTAGCTGCGAGGAGGATATGGGCTGGGGAACAGGGGTGATGATATGGACCCATTCTTTGTCGTGTCGCTGTTCAGCACTACGTCACAACTAGAAGCTGAAACATATATCACATACTTTCAGTACATCAGATGTAGTATTAGCAAGTAGTCCAATGTAAGGACCAAATTTATGCCAGCACCTGTTTTTTTTTTTTTTGCTAGTGGGATGTACAAGTCCCTTGTACTGCGGCCACTTCTGGCCTATTGTACCAGCCCCAGATGACAGGTGAGGGTGATTGTGGAGCAATTAGTGGAATGAAGATTGGCAGGGGAAACCGAAGTACTCGGAGAAAACCTGCCACAGCGCCACTTTGTCCACCACAAATCCCACTTGACCAGATCCCGGGATCGATCCCGAGCCGCCGCGATGGGAAGCCAGAGACTAACCGCTTGAGCTATGGCGCGGCCATTTCCTGCACGTGTTCGGCAGTCCCTGAATTTATACAAGAAATGTAGAGACATTCTAAAACATGATATTGGATGAAAATTTTTATCCAATGCATGAAAATATTTATGCTCCAGTCGTTTTAACGCTGGAGGAATCCGTGCAGTTCTGCCAGGATTCAATAGTTTTCGGCCGCTTCTACATCTGAAGCAGGAAGCTACAGCGCGGGTGCAAGAATTTGCGAAAATATTGTACGGGTTTTAGGGTGCGTCAATATCGATTTACATTTGTGCATAAATAATTATGAAGCCCATGACTTAGTTTGGGTTATAATGATAAAAACTATATATACCTAGAAGCGAGATTGTAAGAGGGGACTTACAGATTGGCAGTAAAATAATAAATTTAAACAAAGCATAATTCACATTGAAACGGTAGAATACTATGTCAGACTAGGCATGGACTCGTAATTCTTGGCCCATAAAACATAAAGAGTAACATAACATGGTCAAAAGTATTTCGAGAAGCAATAGAAAATTCTGACAATTAAACAGGCTTGGCAGAACGTAAGATACGCTATGGCGACCATCTCCAAGGACATTGAGCAATGTTGTATGATGATGAAATATGAGACGCCCTTTGTCATAACGTGGGCATTCCACTAGAACCTGTAAGAGAGTAACCGGCACACTACGGTGGTTTCAAACTCGTGTGGAATCAATTCAAAACAAATGTTCGTTATGTCAGGCAATTGCGACCACTCCTAAGGCGAGTGAGCATGATATCTTCCCTCCTGAGAGTACTGAACGGACCTTTCTTAGAAAGCAGGAAGCGAAATGTAGGTATAAATTTTACGCATTTAGCAGTTGTATACTTGGCTGAGTCTACGGTGTACGACCATAAATTGTTTCATTACTGCAGAATGAGAAAGCTCATCCACAGGCAATTCCACAGGAAATTCGATTTTGCGTTTGCTTTCAGCAATACACAGTCATTTGTCAGGACTCCCTAATCAGTATTCTGTTTGGCAGTCTCACATGACGAGCAGTCAGCCATCCGCACGTTTGAGGCTGCCTTGGTTGGAGCGAAATTCGTTTTCAAGGTATGACTGAAGGTTCAAAGTATCTTGAAAGCATCGAGAAAGACACGTGAAAACTTGAAATTAAAGCGGATTTAATGAAACCTCGAAAAATTAAATACGATGCAGATTTCCGGCAATGGGCGTTATAATGATATTGTAGCCTGTAGACCCGTTACTATACAACGATCGGGACTTAAGTAAATATGCTAGAGCCGTTTCTAGGCAACGGCTCAGTAAACACGTACCCGCAGCAACAGACACAAATGCAATAATGGTACAACAACAGAGGAATGGTGTTTTCTGTGGTCCGCGAATCGGTCGTTGCTAAGCAACAGCACGGCAAACGCATCTCTGCCGCATCGAATCCAAACACAACGTTATCCGTGCCGAGAGGTTATAAGTGAGACGAGGTGTAAAGCTTATTCAGTTACTGGTTGTGGGTTTCAAGGGGCTTGACACCAAGTAGAACTGACTGGTGGTAAACCGTCAGTCGTGAAGTAACTTAGACTTTGAGCTTCATTCATTCATTCATTCATTGTTAGAGAAGGTGGGTTTCTCCATGCACTTAGACCAGTTATTGGTCCATTGTGCGTCCCCCTTTAATTTTTACTGTCTCCATACCCTACCGGTACTGGTGCCCGCTCTCAGCCCCTTTCTGCCAGCGAGGTCGGCCCTCTACTGGCAGTTGTATCTGATAATTAGTCCCTTTCTGTCAGCGAGGTTTCGGTCCTCATCTGGCAGTGATACCAAACACTTTCCCCATCTACCGGAGGCACTGGAAACTACTTGTGCGGGAAAATTTGCCTAATTTAGCTCAGTGGTCTCCTAGAGACATGAGGTTCTTTTACGTGCCGTAAATCTACCTTAAGTCATGAGGTGGGAACGTTACCCCTAGACAAACGGAGGTCGGTGACTTTGAGCTTAGTTCAGCATCACAATATCCTACTCATTACTTTCCTGCTGGAAATGGTGACGTGTTCGATATTATTTTTCACAAGAATGTCCGGCTTCAGAGGTCACTGTCTCTGACATTCCGGACTCAGATCACGTATCAGTCGTTTTCCACTTGCTAGATCATGTTAGAACTACGAATTTTTCGGAACCGAGAGCAGTTTCAAGACCTGGCCTCTGAATTATTTTCACCTGGAATACTAATTAACATGTGGCAATAAGCTGATAAAGCGGCCCGTGACTTTATTGCGTCTGTAGCTTCTACGTAATCAGCAATCAGAATTACAGTCTCGGATCTTCATAAGGATCTACCTGGTCTGAGAGTCTGCTGAAACATAAGCGGAGGTTAAGAATACTGTGGCAAGTAACCTGGGATCCAGCATGTAGAACTTCTGTTAATTGGTTCACCAAAACCATCAAAGAATGACTCGTAGCAAGGCACTCGAACGGTAGAAAACAAAAGTATGAAACTGTTAGATCACACCTCAAACTCTGAGGCCAATTGCGATGTAAATTTTCCGCACTGCTGACAAGTTGTGGCGTTATGATAAATGTGACAGTACATGTAAACCGGTATCACAAAAGGCAAATATTTTGGATCTATAACGCGAAAAGTTCGAATTAGCTTTCTAGTATATTTCTGAGGTTGGCAAAAGTTGAATAGACTGGTTCAAGTTCCATGCAGGCATAATGTTATTTCAATATTTGGCAGTATGCGAAAACAATACAAAGAGTTATAATGTACGATATCTGTACGGTGTCGGTCTCAGACAATGCAAACACATACATTCATGGAGATTACAGAATTATTTCACAAATGAGAAAACTCTTTTGAGAATGATAAAATGTTTGTGTGCAGGGAATAGAACTTCTGGTTTGGGAAGTACACTTCCGTGTTAAATTCTGGATGTATTACTTAGATGTAATTAAACTGTTTCCAGACTATCTTCAATGTGACTGGAAATGAATTTGTGCGTAATATTCTAACTGAAACAATTCTAGTAGCACTACGAGCTTCTCTGCGGAATTGCCAGTCGGGATAATGCGACCAGTCTTTCTGTACCATTTATAAATATTCAACATATTATAACTGTATAAATAACATGTTTATGATCGTGTTATCTACCCGTATGTAGCCCTTTGAGTAAATGAAGGCACAGCTGTCAGGAATCTGGACACAATATTAATTCTCGTCCAATTGTATCGTCAGTGTGGTTCAATAATATTGTAACATTACGACTAGAAGCTGGGATAATGGGACAAGAAGAGACGGCCTTTGCGAGGCAACGGCACGGTAAATAACTCTCCAGACCAACGAATAAACATGCAACAACAGAAGAATTATTGAAGGCGATTTTTGTAGCCAGTCCAGTCCATCAAATTGCTGCTGGCTTTCGTCAGCATAGTCGTTCTTGTTTTCGAGCCCCGTCGGGACACATGACTTAATATTTGTTCGACTCTCGCTGCACTTTTATTAACTTCCAGTCCAGTCCAGTCCAGTAAACTGCTACTGGACCTCGCTGGCACAGCCACTCTTGATTTCGGGTCCCGTCGGATCCCATGACCATATTCTTTTCTTTCCAGACTTCTGCGTACTTTGAAGTGAGGCCTCCTCTTCGACGAAAGGAAGGGCCTGACTACTAGTGGCCATTCTCCCTCTGCTGGGGAGTTACTCTGCCGGCTCTCTCACTCACTCTCTGCCTCCGACGTTTCCTATGTTCTCCGTGTTGAGGCTATATAGCGAGGACCATCGGGAAAATCTATTCAGTCATGGGTCGGAAGTCATGTGTCGGAGGTCGGAGTTGGAGTCTCATTGTTAGACGCCGCTACCAAACAACGATTAATGAAGACATAGACGACTGAGTACTTCAGTAATGATTTGTGGAATCCGTAGACTGGTGAAACTGTTATAGGTATTTGTACCTACGAGCTATAAGCTTTCAATAAATCCAACCACCATTCCTAACCCCGCGTCTGGTCACTAGCAAGTGACAATAATCTTCACCAATGTACAAATCTCTACTTGCTTTGGTATTTTTTGTGTTCTCATTATCGCTAACAGAATGACGAAGTTCTTGGATAAGAAATTATTTAATAATTTTGTGCTCACTTTTTCAGTCTATGAAACTAAAACGAAATTCAGTTTCAGATTTTAATATCACCTTATGTCATTACATAATGAGGCCATATGTCTAGTTCTGATCAGTATTTCAAACAGGTTAATTATTACTTATTTTTATGTATTTGGACTGAATTTAAATATCTGAACATGAAACATTTCTGTAGGCATATAATGAGTTAAGTTTTACGACTGGAGGTATGTGGTTATGAACAGGACCAGAGATGGCAGAGATAAACTGCAGTGAGAAGCACCAATGCTTCCGCTGGTATTGCAATCTTCACTTTTGGCGAAAAAGTCCATATTCAATGAAATTAACGAATTCCTGATGGCTACAGTTTATATGGCCTAACAGCAGATCGACGAAAGGGTTTTCTGTGGAAATCGTAGCCAGAGACTGGGAACTGCTAAACCTTCCAATTTAATATTTAAAGGATAATTCATCAGTAATTTCAAATGCTTAACATACGGAATTGCCGATTTTTTGGAATTTGCCCACCGTCTGGTATTCTAAAGAACA